GTAGGAGCTTGGAAAGTTCTGGAAACAGTTTGCAGGAGAGAAAATTTAAGGTGAAGGACATTTGCGTCGTCGTCGTTGTTGTTGTTGTTGTTGAGGTTGTTGCTGGCTTTGTTAATGTCATAACCGTTTGTATGTCCGAGTTGCGCTATACAATTAACTTCAATTAATTATCATTATCTGAATATTTGTAACCTTTGTAGAACTGTAGAATCTTTCGATTGTGAACCTGTATATATAAGGTAGGGCACAGGTTGTAAAAGTAGCGAAGTTCAATTGCTAAATCATCGAGTTGGGATGTGAATTTTTAGCGTACTCTGTCATTTGTGAATAATTCACTGTTTCTATTACTGCTCGCATTTGAATGAACGTTTAAACGAGTCTCCATTCGAAGCAGTTGTGTCCAGCCAGCTAGGAGAAATATCGAACCTACACAGATACGAGTAACATTAGTAACATTATTTATTATCATTCACACTTATTTTCCGTATGAATAATTTTAAAATGCCTAATTTCGATTGCTAGATCCTCTCAAAGACTACAACATTCACCGACCTTGACACCAGTAACCTTCCACCTCCACCTCCGGCTGTTGCCCTCAAAAATCAAATGAGGTCAAGGTAAGTCGGCCAGATTATCAATCAATCAATCAATCAATCAATCAATCAATCAATCAATCAATCAATCAATCAATCAATCAATCAATCAATCAATCAATCAATCAATCAATCAATCAACCAATTGATAAATGAATAAATTAATTATTAACTCTATTAAACAATCAGATTTAATAAATTAATCATGAAAATAATAGTAATCAACCAACCAACTGACCAATCAATCAACCAACCAATCATTCAACCACTAAGATCTTCCGGACCAAACAATGGAGTCTTTGCATGGCGCAAATCAGCTCCAGTTTATTTCGCAACGAAAAAAGACAACAATAACAACAACAGAGGGAACAACAACAACAACAACAAGTCCGTCTGGTCCAAATTGGCGTACCGAATATCCGGAAAGCATGGGCCATCTTCGACTCTCAACATCCGTCAAATTGAAGATTTCGAGAACAACAACACCACTTTCGACAACTACAACATCTTATGCCCGAAAAACAACAACGCCATCTCCAACAACAACTACAACAACAATAATAACAACAACAACAACAAAAACAAAATGGCCACGCATAGATACATAACATATTACGGTCCGGATTTTTCATCCAAGTCATATTCCGGATCCGGGCTATTTCCGGTTGCCGGGGGATCCGGGGTTTTCCCGTTAAATAGAAATCCCGTTTCGACAATCGCCTACACTGGGAACTATCCTTTTAAGGATATAACCAACAACGCCAGTGTGGCTTTGACAGACGGGAGTGACGATGGCGAGTTTCATACGAAGGTGAGTCGTGTTTTTTTAAAGTTAGTTGATGGTGGTGGGAGTCGATTGCAATGAAGTAAGGCTCGTTCCTTTGTTTGTCCGTTTTGAATGATCAGCTGACTGGATGATCCCGTGATCGCGGTGTTGAAATCGGTTCGCTCATTAATTTCACGCTGCACTGCACGTGATGTCTGCGATGTTTGTGATTTTCATAAAATGGCATTTACGATTAGTTTCTCAATGGCGGAGAATTAAAAGAAATAACTAACAAACAACTTGGACAGGTCGACTCCAAGAACTGCTTACTAACGAATGGCTCTGCTACTCTCAACAAACATTCGGCTCATTTTCTCAACAACAACAACAACAACAATGATAATAATAATAACAATAATATTAATAAAGTTCAGCGCAAGTCAAGTTTCAGTCCCCAGTTAACAGTAGACAGCGGGAGTGGCAACAACAATTATAATTTATCTCTGGCAACTTCACACGCGCGTTTGCGTCCATTCTCGGCGTATGTGGACACGAACGCCACTGCAGTGACGACCACAAAAATGTTGAACGAGATACCGACGACGTTCGCCACCATCCAATCTACCATTCCCAAGAGACCACAGTCATCCATACTCGATACCGATGTTTCAAATGACAAAGCCAGTAAAAACAACGCCCTGTCCTTTATAAACTGCATCAACAACCACAATGAAACGAGTTATAACGACAAGCACATGCATAATTTCTGCAACAGCAACAACAACAGCAGCAACTACTACATGAAAACAAACAACAACAACGTCAAGAATAATCACAAAACAATTAATAACTCCTGCAAGGACAACGCCAAAAACAAAACCGACAACAACAACAACAACAACAATCAAACGACCAGACAACAACAACAACATTCTTCACAATCGACTCCAAAGACAATCATTCAGCTGCAGGCCACAAGCAGCGAGCTGCTCTCGTGTCTAGGAGAGTTCCTACTTCGTCGCTGCAACCGTCTCCGCCACTTCCAAACGACGGAATGTGTGGCCTGGATCAGGTCCGTTGATCGCGCCCTGCTCGCCAGTGGCTGGCAGGACGTCCCATTCATCAATCCCGCCAATGTCGTCTTCCTCTACATGCTGGTCAGAAATTCAGTGGACGCCAGCATTGTAACCGTCGATGAGTTGCGATCGACCGTGCTGGCCTGCTTGTACCTGGCCTATTCCTACATGGGCAACGAAATCAGCTACCCGCTCAAACCCTTCCTAGCCATCGCCAGAATCGATTCGGATCGTCGCGGTCGGTTTTGGTACCGGTGCGTGAAAGTGGCTGACGATTCGAGTTGGCGGATGTTGCGGTTGAATAGCGATCCCGCCTACTTCGCTCGCCTCTTCAGAGATTTGAAATCGTTCAGTCCTTACTGCTGTGGCACTCTGAATGATGTCAGTCTCGCTAATGTTGCTAACATCAATGGAGCAGGCTGTTGTTGTGGCAATCGAAGTCTCAACAACAACAACAACAACAATAACAACAACAAAAATGCTAACCAAAATAAAAGCAGTTCTTTATTCTGCAACGGCAACTTCAGTAGTTGTAAAAATTGTAACAGCAGCAACAACAACAATTCGAACATCAACCAATCATCGAGCAGTCCACCACCTCCATATTCGGCCACTGAGCCGGCTAAACAGTCCGAATCATCAACCGGAAGTGGCTACTATAGTCATACGATCACTTCTGATGCCAGTCGCTCGTTGAATAACGCCATCACAGTAAAATAAAAAAAAATAACGACAACACCTATAATGATATTATTTTTATTTATTTGTGAACTGATTTTTACGACATTTTTCATACTAACTGTCCAATGAATGAATGAATGAACGAACGAACGAACGAACGAACGAACGAACGAATGAATGAATGAATTAATTAATGATTGAATTAATGAATGAATGAATGAACCAATTAGTCAATTAATTAATTAGTTATGTAACATACGGAGTATTTTGGTATTTTGGTTTAGTAACCTATACTCACCCAACAGGTATTATTACTACAACTATAATAACAACATAACAGCTACTACTACCGCTACAGTGGTAGTAGTAGTAGTAGTAGTAATAGTAGTAGTAGTAGTAGTAGTACTTTTAGTAATAACAAAATAATAATAATGATTGACTGTATGAATAAAATAATAATAATGATTGACTGTATGAATGAAATATCCAGTATACAATATAATTTTCGTCATAAGATAATTAATTTTAATTATTTATCGATTAATAATATTTATCTAATAATAATAATTATTTTTATTATATTATTATTATATTATTATTTTTCTTAGTGTAAATCTCCTAATGTTGTTTAATATTTAGGAAGACATTATAGATAAACATTGGACACTATACAAACACACATAGAAATACACACACACAGACACACACACACACACACACACACACATATATATATATATATATATATATACGTATTAGTAGACTTAATGTAGCATAACACAAGGTTTCATTTTGAGTAGAAGTAATCACCATGTAACTATTATTATCATATTATATTTCATCTTCATCATCAACATTTGATTTGTTTCTCGCTAATTTCCGTCACCAACAAGTTCATCAATCATTCATTCATTCATTTTCCATTCATTCATTCATTCATCCATTCATCCATCCATCTATTCATTCATTCATTCATTCACTCACTCACTCACTCACTCACTCAATCGTTTAATCATAATAACATTCGTTTTTCGTTCATTTCAATCGATCCATCACGATCATCTGCCAATCAGACATCGAGACCAAAATGACGTCATAGGCCTATTTATATGTATGCATTGCGACTACTACTACTAATATACGTAGATGCTTTCATTTTGTAGCGCTGTATATATTTTCGATTTTTAACAGTTCTGAATGATTGGAGTATGTTCTAAGGTGTGTATAGATATGTTTCGTGACTTTTAAGAAATGAGTGTACATATAATTAAATGCATATCCACGAACACAAATACACACACACGTAAGTACATATATACATTCACACATACACTCAACGCCCGCACAAACACACACACACACACGCACACATGTACTGTGTACATACTTAAACGTCCAACACAATATTTTATAGAATTAGTAGTCATCAATAAGTGTTTTACGGTATCACACATACACACATATATACAAACAGACAGACACATACATACATGCCTACATATATATATATATATATATATATATATATATATATATATATATATATATATATATACATACATACATACATACAGAAATACATACATATGCACACATACACCAACAGACATGTTCATCTTCCGTTTGATAAATAGTGCGTCGTATGCATTTTTATGACAAACATTACGATATTGTATTGTATTTGTTCATTTAAATGATTTGTTTATTTTATACGGTGGTAAATAAAACATTCCATCCTTTTCTTTATTCTCTTTCTCTCTATATATTCTCTTTCTCTCTATATATTCTCTTTCTCTCTCCCTCTCCTCTTTTTCTCACTTTATTAATTTCCTCTCTCTTTCTCTCTCTTCATCATGGTAGGAAAAATAATAAATTGAATAATAAGCTCCCATGAAATTTCAATTCATTTGCTCCAAAACTAAGAACGCAGAATTATAAGTATATATACGAGATAGAACCAATACTTGGCAACATATTACATTAAAACAAGTAAAGGATTACCGAAAAAAAAAGTTTTTTTTACATCAAATGAGAATGAATAGAAGGGTAATAATACGTCTTCACCCATAAATTTAAAAAATAAAATAAACCTGCCATCCCTGAAAAGAAGCGTTCCTAGCAACGCTAGATTCACTTTTAAAGATTAAATACCGAGCCTATTTCGTGATTTTAGAAAGTCATTTACTACAATTAACTCCACACAATATAAATTTATAAATATTTATTTATTAATTATTTTTGACAATTTTTCAAATTAAAACAATAAAATGGCGACAGCATCCAGTTTATTCTACGATCTCATCGAAGATGTAACAAATGCACCTTACCCAGTTCTGCCTAATTCGCTACTGAAATTAAAAAGTAATTATTTCAGTATTATTTCCGATCATTAAATAATCACCCAATAGGTATTTAATCTATCTATATAATGTGCTGACACGTGCACGCTATGAGCTATGACTATTTGACATAGTAATAATTACATTGATTGAAGTCTAATAATTAATAATTTAAATACTAAATAAAGTTATACAAGACAAACTTAACAGAAATGTGACTACATTATTTAATAATAGCACATAATCTATACCAATACATATGTAATTCAGTGATATATACTTATTAATTTAATATTAATTTAATAATCAAATTTATTCAAATTTAATTCATATGAAATTCATATATTATGAATATATATGTCACATTGGCAGATTATTTAGAAAGCACTGATGTTAGTGACAAGCAGGTACAGCTAATGAAGCAATCATTAGTAGCATCAGGTGTATTGCCAGTTGTATTTGTAACATTGAAACAGAATTTCAATAAATTTGAAAATGGCTGGGACAGCAGCTATAAACTTGCTCAATTTCTTGTGTCAGTAGATGATGATGATGATGATGAATGATGATGATGGAGATGTAGATGATGATACGTTGATGATGATGATGATATTTAATACAAAACTGTGCCAATAAATAAAATTTATTAATATTTTAAAATCATTTCAACCATCCTTAAGAATAAATACATTTCTAAATATGTAAAACGGATTAATATATATATATATATATATACATATATACAAATCACTATGAAAATGTCAACATTTCCAAACAAACTCAAAGAAGTGTTCATTTATTTTTAACAAAAGACGAAAAATCCCTTTTTAATTTCAGAAATATTTGTGTAACAGTAGACCCAAAATGTTTTGAAGATATCGGCAAAACTTCAAAACAAGTTTTGGATTCTTGCTTGTACTTAGCCTCACGGCTTCAGAAAAGATACATACACACGACTGAGGTTCTAAAAAATATTTCCCTCAAGTTCATCTCTCCATAATTTATTATTATTATTAAATAATTATGATCTATAATAGTAATAATTATTATGAAAATCCAGGTTCTATTAGATGTCAATCAAACCTACTTAGAATACTTCAACACAGTCGTGGACTGCGTAAGCCAGCTGCTAACAAACTTTCAACAGCTTTCCATCCCTAGTAAAATGAAATATTATAGTTATTTGAAATATTTTAGTTAAACATAATTAAATAATAAATTTTCATAATTTTTAATGCCTTTTTTCATTATAATTTCATATAAAGTTGCAGAGTATTATTGGCAAAATGTCAGTTTTACTTTTCTTGCTCTGTACACATTGTATGTATGTGCGTATGTATATATATGTGTGTGTGTATGTATTTCAAAATTTCGTCACAATCTCTAATTCTCATCATAATTTCAGTTACAGAAGAAATACCATCCACACAAACAATTTTAATGGACTTTTTTTCATAATTTAAAATAAATTACCTAAAAAAAATTCCATTTTCTTCAGCGCTAGAATCAATATGGCTGTTGCAAATGCTCATGATGGAGGACAAGACCACTGTATTGAAAATCATGTCAATCATACAGATGATCAATAAGACCAGACAGTAAGAATCTCTATCTCTCTCTTTCTCTATCTATCTTTTTACCTATCTGTCTGTCTATCTATCTATATATTTCTCTCTCTCTCTCCCTCTCTCTCTCTCAAATAAATTATTCATCTGTTTATTCATTTCTTCTTAGGGGCGTCTTTGCCAGAGTAAGCAGTGACCAATCAAAACAGATATTAGATGAACTGATGTACAAGATCCTAGATACCAGCGAACCTGAGATTGCCAGGTTTTTAACTTTATAATAATTATAATTTATAATATTATAATGTAATAATTATTTGTTTTCTTATTTATTATTATTCTTATTATGAATAACGATCGATTTTATAATGATTTAATATAGAAATTATTTCAATACTTTAATTCAATATTATAAAATCGATCGTTTATAATGTATTTTATGCGATAACATTTGGAGTTTTGTCAGTCAATATTTAAGTTGAAAAACCATGTTGAAGCATCAACTTGGTAACGCCGTAACTGTTCATAATTCCATTACAATAGATTGATCGTCATAACTAAGCATAATCAATAGCACGATGCATAACAACTGACCAAAATTTCGTAATTTACCGCATAACACCATTGTGAAATTATTTCAATACTACTGCTGCTGCTACTTCTGCTACTACTTCTAATAATAATAATAATAATAATAATAATAATTGAACATAAGTTCATCAGCTCGAACGGTTCTAGAAATATGTAGAAACCACGCGCAGTCTGCTAAAATCATCTTCACCAGATACAAGTAGGAAAAAAAATTTTTTTTCAATTTGATTCAATATCATTCAATATGATGCAGTTATCCATTCATTCATCTACCAATTCATTTTTACTTGCCCATTCATTCATTCATATACCTAAACAGAGGCTTGAGAGCATTCACAGAAAGGTGGATAAAAGAACCTTTCATGAAAGATTTTCAAATACTATTAGATGCTGGCAGTGTAGAGCAAGCCAAAATAAAAGTCAGTAATACACACGCACACATATACAAAAACACGCACGTACGCTCACACACACACATTCACATGTCTGACAGAAAATGATATTAACGCTAATTTATACATTAAAATTATTTAGAAATTGGAGTTAGACGTGATAAAGATACAGTCGTTTTGGCGTAGTTATTCAACGAGAAAGAAATTGAAACAGGCGAATCATGCTTTTACACAGTTTCACATATCTTACAGGTAATATTTGCCATTAGAAAAACTTCGCGATATTTTCTCAGTAAAATTTTTAATAATAATTTAACTTAGTATTATCATATTTCAAAAGTAGATTTTTTAAAAGAAGTATTCAAGTTTCTAAAAAATCTTCTCTACGTCCAAGTTATGCTTATTAATATTAAAAAAAGGAACAAAAAGTTAGAGGAGAAGACGAAAGCAGAAGAGCTGAAGATGGAGAATGATTTGAAGTTCATGCTACAAATTCAAAGAAAGTACAACATGAGAAGACTGCACATGAAACAGTTGATTGCTATTCAAATTCTGCCTGCATGTTTGTTTGTTTGTTTGCTTGGTGTTGCATCTAATCACAACAAAGCCGTCTTGAACTATTTTTCAAAAACATCAAAACATGATGTAACTTTCCAATTTACATGCTTACGTGTTTGGTAATTACGAAAAACTTTAGAGCATATCCACCATGCGTGTGTGGTGTGTGTGTGTATACTTGTGTATGTTTGTATGTGTATGTATGTATGTTTGTGTGTGTGTATGTACACATGTATGTATTACAGCATTCCTCTGAATATTACTAGCAAAGGTTGAGGAGTATCTGATAGAAGAGCAAAACAACGCGGCTACTAGAATTCAATCAACATGGAAAATGTATAGAATTAAGAATAACTTAGGAGACATCAGAAGAAAAAAATTCCTAAACGAAAAAGCTTCTACTATTCAAACATTCGTAAGTATAATATTCACCACAAATATTTACTAGAATTATTTTGGCTCATGTATGCCGAATCAAACTGAAAAAGTTATCTACTTTTTTATGAAACAAAACGTTTAAAACATTATGTACCTTCTTTCCTTTGTTAATTATAAAATACTTTAACTATTTCTGTATCTGTAACAATTATATTCAGTTAGAAATCGTAAAATTCTGAAGAACAATATAAATAAAGATTTGCAATGAAAAAAATCTAGTGTTAGGTTGATTTACAAAATGTAATATAAACATTTAATATAACATAATAAGAAACTACATCAGTTCAGAAGGTACCAGAGGAGAAAAGAGCTGAAGACCTTAGGTGAGGAGATTAGCAGTAGCAGTAGTAGCGGCAACAACGTGCCAGATCTTCTAGCGTCCTTGATCATTAGTGAGGAGCGAAGGCAACAGCTCCAAGATATCATTCAAGAAAGGCTGGAAAATAGAAAACCGGTTATTTTTCTTTCAGGATTTTCCAGTTGCTGAAATGAAATTATTCACACGTTCAAAATCATTATTCACGTTTTTTTTATTTTTGAAGTATTAGTATAACACAATAATTAATTATTTATATTTAAAACGAAAATCAACTGAACACCACATTCACTTACTACACCAAGTCGAATAACTTGAGGAAATTTATGAGTCATTATGATCCTAAAAATTATGACAAAACTCACGCACACACCAACACACACATACACTGACACATATAGGCAGAATTTGTATCTCGTGAGCACAGTGAAGAACTACATTCAAAAGTTCAGACACTGCTAGCCAACCACGTCCAACATGAACTCCAGCCAGGTATGAGGAAACAGAAAATGATGATAACGACGATGAGAAAGAAAATTGATGCTGACGTTGAATTTTTAACTGGTGAGTCATCACACACACACACACACACACACACACACACACACACACACACACACACACACACACACACACACATACACACGCACACACTCTAACAGCACATTCAGCCATTCTATCATAGTCAGCATTTTTTTCACTGGTGCCTGGATATGTGGGAGGAGTTTGAAACGTTTGGTTGATGGTGGAGAACATATGAAATGACAATGCAACTGATAACAATGAACAAACAGCTTAAAAAAGTCGCAGGAAGTCTATGCACCTATATCTACCTATATATTTGTATATATATAGAAACATGACCATATATTGTAACTACATAAAAATGTACATAGCGCCATTAAGCATGGCAGAGCACACACATCCAATCTTGAATTTCCTCCAGGCAAGTTGTAACATGAACCTAGCTCAGCCTGCAACTGATCCAGGTAATCTCTCACTCTCTCTCTCTCTGCCAACCCAACACCCAACAACAAAAATCCAGATAAAATATCAGCTGCAATCCTTCGCAACCTTTCCTATGAGTACCAAATATAAATTCAAAGTGGCATATTAAATAAAAACATACATACATAAGCACGCTCTAAATTTTAAATCAGAATCCATATTTTTTCATACTCCTAACAGATTGTCCAAGGCTGAGTGACGACAGAATCCCAGATGAGATCATACAAGCGTGCAGAATCACTTCACTGCCAATCATAAGCAAGGCTAACACGCTTCACTTTGAAATGTTAAATAATAGTAACAAACGCTGGTGGCAGAGACTGAATGATATAAAATGAAATAATAAATAACTTAAACGAATAAATATTTAAATGAATAAATGAATTTAAATTTTTCTTTCCCTGCTGCTTTGTATTGTTATTCATGAGCCAGTAGGTACCTATATAAATCGCTAGAAAACATTAAAAAATTACTTTTATATAAAACAAGTGTTCTCTACCAGTATCTAACGGTAGATATCATAGATAAACTTTCGTTAATTAAGATCTAAACAGAGAAAATAACGAATTTTATATAGGCCTTTGATTGCAAACTATTTCCAAGTCACCATTTCATCTCACCTATAAAAGTGAAACGAAACTAGAAAGGCATGGAAATAAGCCAAACACACACACACACACACACACACACACACGTGTTAACACCTACATATCAGCATACATACAAACACACCTACATATAGAAATACATATATACAAGCTCTCTGATTTATAGCTACTAAGAAGTTATCTAAATCTTCTAATAGATCCTTGCCTTACATATATTACTCACTAGATCTAACATTAACACTAGTGTTGCAAAAACAATAAATAAACTAATATCAATAAATAACCAACAATAATAAATAAAGAACATCAAACAAAAAAAATACAAATAATAAACTAAAACTAACAAACAAACAGCATACCAACCAACCAGCTAGTAGATGAAATTTCAAAATAAAAATTAATAACATCCAGGCAAACACATCTAGGGTAGCGAGCTTATATACATATATACAAACCTACCTACATGCATGCAGACATACATACACACACATAGAAGCATATATGTACATATATCCTGATCTGCTTGAAGCAGGCTCATTAAGTTATTTCAAAAGAAAATGGCAGTATAGCAGTCATTATGACTGCAGTAACAACAAATATTAATGATAATTATTGTCTGTCTGCAGATGACTTCTACAGTGAAATGATGATTTTGACAACAGCAACTTGACTTCTACAGTGAAATGATGATTTTGACAACAGCAACTTAATCAACCTAAACAACAATGAATAATAAACTCATTTTTCATTTTGTATTATTGCCTTGCATGCTGTAACAATTTCTGCATCTGTCAGATTCTGATTTTTTTAGAAAAAAAAGTCATAATGATGTGTGTGCGTATGTGTGTTAGTGAGTGTACGTGTGTGTGTCCGTTTGTGTGTGTGTGTGCGTGCGAGTGTGTGCGCGAGTGTTTGTTGTGTGTTGACTAGGTCAGATCCCAAGGAAAGCTAGACAGTTGCACAGTTCTCCAGAAAAAAATTGGTGTAACTCTTTAAGTGTACAACTTTCTACCTCAACTAGAGTATCGACATTTCTTTGGGTTTTTTTTTGATGTTGTGTTTGGCGATGAAAATGCTGTGTTGTTGTTGTGTTGTTTTTGTAATGCAATGTTTGTGGTAATCCACATATGATATTTTTTGTTAAATTTCATGTATTATATTGTGTTGATGCTGTTGTTTGTCGTTATTGTCATGTATTGTTGATGTTATTGTTGATGACGAGTTTTTGTAATGTTTCTGTTGTTGGCTGGGCAGAGCTGACAACAATATGCGTGTGTGTGTGTTGTGTGTATGTGTGTGTTTGTCTGCTCAATGCCCGTTGTATGTTCATGTGATTTCAAGTAAAATATTGAATGAATAAAATATTATTAATACTCTAGAATGATGCAAGTAGCACACATTTTAATTATTTGCAAATAATTATAGATTCTCTCTCTCACACACACACGCACACACACACACAAAACTGTTTCAACAATGGCACTAGGGGAGGTCACAAAAAAATAAACAACTGATATAAACTTACAAATAAACCAAACCTATCTATCTGTATGTAGCAAAGAAATCACTCTGTATTAAACAGCACAAATCTGAATTCAAAACAAAACTCAACGATCAAACAAACAAAACAAAGAGAAATAATTCCTACTGATGATGGGAAATTAAAGGAAATTATTCTATTTATTATATACTCTCCTTTAAACACAAAACAAACTCAAATAAATGTAATCAAATGTAGTATAGCATCTAATTAAAGCTTCAATTGCAATACTATACCACACACATGCAAGCACATACACGCATACAGACAAACACACATACACACACAGACAGACAAACATACACACACACACACATACACTGACACACAGAGCAGATTTATTTAACATCACAAAGAATGAATGAGTAATAGCAGAATGCATAATAAATAAACAAGGAATAAGTGAATGAATAACTATTATTATTATTATTATTAATATCGTTATTGTTATTATCATCATCATTATTATTATTATTACTACTACCATTATCATCATCATCTCATCATCCACATTACCATTAGCAGGCAATAAATCAACAGTACACATACAAAACATCATCCCACGCTAATATTTACTTGATTAGTAATACTTGATACTGGCCTGTATCATATCATAAATGCACACCATCACAATAATAGAAAGATATCCTATTATTATTATTATAAATTATAATTATTATACTATTATTATTACATTATTATATATTAGAGAGAGAGAGAAAGAGAGAAAAAGAGAGAGAGAGAGAAAAAGAAAGAAAAAGAGAGAGGATGAAATAAACAAACGAAAATGAAAATAGAGATATTGTTACTGTGGTTATTATTAACGTTATTGTGGTATGAAAGAAAAAAAGAAAGAATGAATGAACGAATGAACGAACGAACGAACGAACGAACGAACGAACGAACGAACCAACCAACCAATGGGTGAGTGAATGAACGAATAAATGAATGAACAGAAAACGAATGTGTTCAAGTAGATGAATACAAAAATATAAGATCATGTACAAAAATGATTGAACAACAGATGCTAAAACTATTTCAAACATTTCTCTCTCACACTCTCTCTCTCTCTTTCTCTCTCTCACTCTTCCTCTCTCTCTCATTCACTGCTATTTCTATCTCTCAAACTAAATGTGAAATTGATCCGTGAAAAATGAATTTATTTATACCATACCTATGAACATGTACATAATGAAGCAATGGAAGTGGAATGCTATCAAATTTAACACCATCCATACACCCATATATGTATGTATCTATCTATCTCTGTCTATTTATCTATCTATATATCTGTCTGTCTATCTATTTATCTATCTATCTATCTCACTGTCTCCAAAACCCATCATAACGTTGCTTAATACCTATAATAAACAAAAACAATAATAAAAATAAGAATGATATTATAATACATACATAAAATTCACATACAAACGCACATACAAAGTAGCAACGAATAAAACCACCCAGAGCTGGTGAAAAAAACCAACAAAATAGTAACTCACGTGAACTAAAATAAAGATAGAAAAGATGCCTACATACATACATACCTAAATTTTACACATACATACACACAAGCACGCAAAAACACACAGACACACACACAAACAAACAAGCAACAGACACAAGTGCAAGGAAAAAAAATAAATGGAGTGGGTGGATGAGATAACAAAGATAAAAAATATATCAAAAAATAATGACGTAATAATGATGATTAAAAACACCACAAAATCACGCCATATATATCTAAGTGATTCAGTAAGCAAAAAATTAATAAACCCACAACAAAAAACTGCTACATCAAATTAAACCTAATGTGTGTGTGTGTGTGTGTGTGTGTGTGTGTGTGTGTGTGTGTGTACACACACATAAAATCATCACACATATACAAGCGCGCGCGCACACACTCACAGACAGAGCAGTGAAATATGGCCTGATCCTCCATTATTATTATTATTATTACTATAAATATTTCCTTTAATTTCAACTATTTATATGCCAACTGCAATTATAACAATCTGATGCTACTGGCTCAGCTTACCATACTTTTACTAGACTACACTTCATAGCTACAACAAGCCATCTATAAACGCTGAAACACCAGAACAATATGATGCATAAAACACACACACGCACGCACGCACGCGCGCGCACACACAGATTAGCAGGAGGCAGCTTAACTTTACACGCACCTACAGGCACTCTTAACAACAGCTAACGTATAGCAAGGTGAAGGCCATCTTACCTAATACAAGGTAATATTATTACCAGTCTGATTATTACACATTATACATATTCATCACCAGTCATCGTGATCATTATTATCATCCGTGTTATTATTATCATCATTGCAAAATTTTTTCACTTTTTTCCTACATATTGTAGGTTGTAGACATAAACGCTGTTATTATTTCTTTCTACCATTAGTATAAGCTTTCCGAAATATATTGCTGTAAAGGAATGCATATGTATGTATGTATGTATATGTAGTGTATACCAATGTATGTATGTTCCTATGTATGTCTCTGTATA